ATAGATGATAGATAGATAGACAGACAGACAGACAGATAGATGATAGACAGACAGACAGACAGACAGATAGATAGATAGATAGATAAATGTTTTAAATGACTTTTTCAAGCCAACTTAATTGTTTCAGAACGTTCAGAAAACTTTGAATAGCAATGTTCCCATAACGTTTGCAAAATTATAAAATGGAACTTTTTTTTTTTTAATTATTTCTTTAATGTTGGAAATAGCCAAAAAAATAAAATAAATAAATCAAAACCTGGATGAATTGAATATTCATAAAAAATTTAGAAGTAATGTTTCCATATCTTAATGGGATGTTAGCTAAATGTTCTTAGAGCATATGCTTGTTAGCTGGAAATGCACTAGCACCAACCTTCATATCAATAATTTCTCTTGTCCATTTCAGTTCTCTAACATCAAATGTATTATCGTGTCATTTGTGTAATGGATGAGGTGGGGCAGCATTACATTTAAGTGCTCAAAAACAAGTCATTGTGATATAATGGGCTATATGGAGACATCGTTATCTGTCTGGACCATTAGTCTGCTCGACCACAGAGAAGCAGAGCCTCATCGCTCTCATGCTCTGTTCGTAAACCCTTCACTAGGGCTGCAAAGGGGCGGAAGATTTCCCATACATTTCCAGGAAATTTCCATGGGAACTTCATCTCGGGAATTTTGGAAATATTCCAAGTTGGAAACTTTACAGGAATTTATTTGAATTATTTAGAAAATGTATATAAACTGTATATACAGACATAAACATAAACATTTTGTTCGGTCATAAGCTGACATGCACGCAAACGAATGCACAAATGACATTTTTGACTTTGATGTAATTGTAATTAGAACTTTAATTCATTCTTTCATTGAGCAACACAATGTTGAATGAACAAAAAACCCCGTATTTCCTTATGTTTGCTTTAAAACGAAAGCCTTCCCCTTCCAAAAAAAGTCCCATTCAAAATGAAAGTGAAAGTATTTTCTCCTATGCTTCTTAAGTCTCTGCATTTTTCCTCTTAATCTATTCAGGTCTCGTTGGCTTGTTCCTGGACCTCGTCAACATCCTCCATGTCTGCTTCCTCGACATCTGACTCGCCTTCATCTTCGGTGTCACAGTCCAGCCTTGTCCAGGATGGCTCTGTGTCAGGCTCAAAGAGCCGTAGGTTTGCCCTGGTGGCCACCAGCTTCTCCTCCCTTGCATTCGTGAGCCTGTTGCGAACCTTTGCGTGTGTGTTCCCAAACAGTGAGCAGTTGCGCTCGGAGGCGGCTGATGTTGGTGGGATTTGAAGGATGATAGACGCTACAGGCGCAAGTGCCTCAGATCCACAAAGTCCTTTCCACCAGGTACATGCAGATATGTGCTGGCACGATTGCCATATCCCATCCCATTCCCAAAGGCCTTGCTTGGTACGGTACTTTGCTAGACTGCCGAGAACCTTGCCTTCATCAAGCCCAAGACGGTGAGACATGGCAGTAATAACAGCGTAAGCACTGCGGATCTCTTCAGCAGAGAGTATGCTTTTCTCATACTTTGGGTCCAGCATGTATGCTGCTGCGTGTATTGGTTTCATGCAGAACTCTTGGTGCTTCTCCAGGGACTTGACCACTGCAGTCTCCTCTGCTTGCAGCAGCAGGGAGGCGGTCAGGACGGTTTGTATTTCCTCTCTGAGCTCAGCAAACAGATATTTAACATCTGACAAGATGGCAGTATCCCCTTCTATCTTGGCAATAGCTGCTGCTATTGGTTTGAGGATTCTCTGGCTGCCAGTCACTCTTTCCCAGAACATATCATCTAACAGGATTCTCTTGATGGCACTTTCAATGGCTGCAGTCTGGGATATGGCCATCTCTTGCAAAGACTCCTTCCCCTCTAGCAGACTGTCGTACATGACGACAACCCCACCCCATCGAGTGACGCTGGGGAGCTTCAGTGTGGCGTTCCTGTTTTTTCCTTTTTGCTTAGAGAGGTAGATTGCTGAAGCTACCTGTTTGCCCTTCACATAGTTCACGACTTGCTTCGCTGTCTTGTACAGTGTGTTCATTGTATTCAGTGCCATGATGTCCTCAAGGAGACGATTAAGAGCATGGGCAGCACAGCCAATTGTTGTTATGTGAGGGTAGGTCTCCTTCACGTGTGCCCAAGCAACTTTCATGTTTGCAGCATTGTCAGTCACAAGTGCACAAACCTTCTCAGGTCCAAGATCACTGATGACTGCTTTCAGCTCATCAGCAATGTAGGAGCCTGTGTGTCTGTTGTCCTTTGTGTCTGTGCTCTTATAGAATATTAATTGAGGGCTGGTGACAATGTAGTTGATAATTCCTTGTCCCCGGACATTTGACCACCCATCAGAGATGATGGAAATGCAGTCTGCTTTGTCAACGGTTTGCTTGACCTTTGCTTGCACTCTGTTGAACTCTCTATCCAGCAAATGAGTAGACAAAGCATGACTGGTGGGAGGTGTGTACGCGGGGCGAAGGACACTCAGGAATCTCATCCAATAGACATTGGCTGTGAGCATCAGAGGTGAGCCAGTTGCATACACTGCTCGAGCAAAACATTCATCAGCATTTCTCTGGCTACGTTCATCCATTGAGTCCAACAACCCTCCGATTCCAGAGTGGCCGGGAGCTGACGAGAGGGTGTCTGAATCGGAATCATTTTCACATCGGATGGAAGCAGATGAACTCTTGTCTGGGGTTGCTTGTTTCGAGCTCTGGGAAAACTTTGGGCACTTGGCTATATGCTGCTGCATCTTTGTGGCATTCTTAACATAGGTCTTTGCACAGTATTTGCAACTGTACACAGCCTTTCCTTCCAGATTGGCTGAGATGAAATGTATCCACACCTGAGATGGTGTGCGTGGCATTGTTCTGTGGAATAAAATGATATATAAACTATTTTAATATAACCATTTTACAATTGCTGCAAATGAATAGAAATAGGCTAGATGAATAAATACGTCTCAATCAGCATGCTTGCTAAATCAAACGATAACTTAGTATATACAGTATCAGTCAAAAGCGTTTTACTTTTTAATGTTTTTAAAAAAAAGAAGTCTCATGCTCATCATTCCAGCAAGCCTGCATTTATTTGATCAAAAATGCAGAAAAACAGTAATATTGTGAAATATTATTACAATTTAAAATAACGGCTTTCTTTTTTTAATGTACTTTAAAATATCATTTATTTCTGTGATGCAAAGCTGAATTTTCATCAGCCATTACTCCAGTTTTCAGTGTCACGTGATCCTTCAGAAATCATTTTAATATGCTGATTTATTACCAATGTTGGAAACATTTGCTCTGTCTAATATTTTTTTGGGAACCTGCGATCCTTTTTTCAGGATTCATTGATGAATAAAAAGTTTAAAAGAACAGAATTTATTCAAAACAGAAATCATTTTCTTTACTATCACTTTTTATCAATTTAACATATCCTTGCTGATTAAAAGTATTAATTTCTTTAAAAAACAAAACAAAAAAACAACTGTTTCCAATTATAAATAAATTAATAAAATTAGTATATTAGAATGATTTCTGAAGGATCACGCGCCACTGAAGACTGGAGTATTGGCTGATGAAAATTCAGCTTTGCATCACAGAAATACATTACATTTTAAAGTATATTAAAACAGAAAACCATTATTTTTAATTGTAGTAATATTTCACAATATTAGTTTTGATCTGTTTTTGATCAAATAAATGCAGGCTTGATGAGCATACGAGACTTCTATCAAAAATTATAAATAGTAGTGTGTCCAAACATTTTACCAGTAACATACTGTACGATAACAGAAAACTAGCAGAAAGAGCATCACAGCTTGAGCTACCTAGCACATGATATCTAGCCTCATAAACTAGCTTACATGTAGCATACTTGATTTACTGCCTAGCTAGCTACTGTATAAACATACTTTTGTATTTGCTAGTTAAACTTTAATACTGTAGATCAAATGTATTTACCAAAGTAATATCAAAACTTACTTGAATGGATGTAGTCTTCGGGTTCAAATGCAGAACTGTGGCTTCAAGAGTCTTGTGATAGGCAGACCTTGGAAAATCGGGGGGGAATTCCCCTCTTAAGTGACTAAGAGGGCGGGGGATGGCCTTAGAGTTTTTTTTTGGTTTGTTTTATTATCTCACCTAAAGGTTTGCTCAGTCAGTCTATTTGTTTTTACAGTGGTAACATGTTGGTTCACAATAGCTTACACACTGCACAAGAAAGTTTTAAACATAAATGTGTGTAATATTTATGTAATTTACATGACTAATCACCAAGATGGACTTTTTTTGAAATTATTTTGTGTGCAGGATTCAAGAAATCAGTTTCTCCTATTAAAAATACTTTCATATTAGAAAAACAAAAAGAGTTTTTTATCGGTTCAGTCTCTGTAAGCCTTTGCCTCTGAATGCTGTTGGATATCTTTAAAGAGGAAAGAGTATGCCAGGTCGGTCAGACCACATCGAGCCAGACATAAGACCTGCAGGTGAGAAAGGCCGGTTCCCAGATCCCTGAGGAAATACTGAGAATAATAAGCCTTTATCTGATTCACTTCCTCTGTAGGGTTGCAGAGGGGCGGAAACTTTCCGGAAACTTTCCATGGGAACTTCATCTGGGGAATTTTGGAAATATTCCAAATTGGGAACTTCACAGGAATTTACGGGAATTAATTGGAAATTTGGGGAAATTTATAGAAACTGTCTCTCATACAAACATAAACATAAACATTTTGTTTGATCATAAGCTGACATGCATGCAAACTAATACAAATTTTTAAAAAATGACATTTTAAATATTTTTGGAATCTGTGATGCTTTTTCTCAGGATTTATTGATGAATAAAAACTTAGAAAGAACAGCATTTATTCAAAATAGAAATCTGTTCTAACAATATATAAGTCTTTACTATTACTTTTTATTAATTTGACATCCTTGTTGAATAAAAGTATTAATTTCTTTAAAAAACAAAACAAAATACTGACCCCAAACTTTTGAATGGTAGTGTATTGTTAAAATATGATTTATATTTTAAATAAATACTGTTCTTTTAAAACTTTTTATTCATCAAAGAATCCCCAAAAAAAGTATCACAAGTAATAAAAAAATATTAAGCAGCACACCTGTTTCCAAAATTGATAATAAATTAGCATATTAGAATGATTTCTGAAGATCATGTGACACTGAAGACTGGAGTAATGATGCTGAAAATTCAGCTTTGCATCACAGCAATACATTCTAGTATTATATTTATCAGTATTTGTCATTATTTTAAATTGTAATAATACTTCACAAATATTACCGTTTTGTTCTGTATTTTGATCAAATAAATGAAGGCTTGATGAGCAAAAGAGATGCAATGTTTAAAAACATTAAAAATAGTAACATGTCCAAACTTTTGACCAGTACTGTACTTCTGTATGATAACAGAAAACTGGCAAACAGAAAGAGCATGACAGCTTGAGCTAGCTAGCACATGATACCTAGCCTCATACATTGTCAATGAAATAGTGCTAACTAGCTTAGATTTTTCATATCTGGTTTACTGGCTATACTCTATAAATACTTTTTGGTATTTGCTAGTTAAACTTTAACACCATAGATCAAATATATTTGCCCAAGTAATATCAAAAGTTAGATGTAGTCTTTGGGCTCAAATGCATCAAGTGTGGCTTCAGAGAAAATGGAGGGGAATCCCTCTCTTAGGTGACTAGAGGGGATTGTGTGTGGGGGAGGGTCATTTTAGACAGGTTTATTATTATTATCATCTCACCTAAATGTTTGCTCAGTCAGTGTATTTGTTTTTACAGTGGTATAATTTAGTTGCACAGTAGCTTACACACAGCACAAGGAAGTTTTAAACATACATTTTTGTAATATTCATGTAATTTAGGGTTAGGGTGTTGATGTTTTGTGTGCAGGATTCAAGAAATGATCTGTTCATGTTAAGGAGGAAAGCACAGTGCATGTAGGGGGTGTGGCCTGCACTAAGCAGTGTGCTGTGTGCATGTGATTGAGCAATGTGTAGTGTAGAATTTAAATGAAATTGCATTAAATCTGGTTGTTTTAACCAAAATTATGCTGCAAGATTTTTTTCTCAACTATATCTAAGTTCCCAGTTCCTGCAATTTTGCAAATTCCCAGTTTATTCCCGTTAATTCCCATGGAAAGTTTCCAGTCGTGAAAATTCCCGGAACTTTGCAACCCTCTGTCTATATTATTATATCTCAATGCATGTTTATCTTCTGTGAAATGTATGGGTTCTGTATTCTTTTATAAATTCTATTTGTTTGGTTTTTGAGGATGAGGCCTTTAGCTGTTGGCGCCTGCCTACTTTGGCTTTTATTTGTATGGACTACATTTATTATTTACATTTATGGTGTTTTTTAATGGTGTTCATGTTGTTTAATCTTGATATCAAAAAGCCTGTTTCCACCACAGGAACTTTCACCAGGAACTAGGGACTTTGGGCCGGTATTCGGTGTGTTTCCACCACAGGAAGCAGGATCTAAATAAAGTTCCTGGTTAAAATTTGCCTCTCAGAAAGTCCCTGCTCACGAGGTAGTACTTTTTCAAAGGTCAGGAACTTTTGGGGGCGGGACTTGGGCGCTGAGCATGCTGATTGGTTGAGTTCACAGCATTGTATTTCAACCACCATTTATAAACATAATTTTCTAAATATTACTGTTATTGTGTCATGAAATGTAGTTTTAAGAATATTTCAGGTGAGAATGTAGTTGTTTAAAACTCAAATCTGCGGTTTATTTATAAAGACAGCGCCTATTTGAAAGTGTGCATCGCTGATTTCGGAGACGTGAGCTCCAGGCGATCAGCGGGCGCTCAGTGCTCATGTTTCCCGACGAGAGCAGCCTCAACTCGGCTAGTCCTTCTGACATTTGCTGCTGGCTCTGATGTCTCTGTACTGGTTAAACATGAGATATAATTCATTTTAGGTAAATCTAACAGGTAATCTTTGGTCTTTATTCTATTAATATGTTAAAATGAAAATGAAAAGAGGCAATGCTGTTTTTTCCGGGGCTATTAATAGCCTATGTTTAAATGAAACGAAAAGAGGCAGTGGTGTTTGATATCATATTTCGTCTTATTGTAAATACAGAGTAGCCAAAGCAAGCTGACTGATGTTATGAAGTACGGACTTGCGTCGTCCCGTCCGCGGGAGTTCACAATCCCGAGTTGAACTTGCGAAGTCCGAACTACCGACAATTTGCGAAATTACCAAGTCCGAAATTTGCATACTTGGTATTGAGAAACGGCGCTGGACTTGGAGGAGCAGTTGCGCACAGTCCTACGTCACCAGACTATTTGCCTAATCTTCACATTACTTTAGGCCATACCTGTCAACCCTCCCGTTTTTCCTGGGATTCTCCCGTATTTTACCATTCTATCCCGCTATCATCCCGTTTAAATATTTTCCCGTATTTCTCCCGTATTTTTTAACTTTCTATTAAAAAAAAAAAATCCCACTGGGCGTATCTTATATGCTTGCTACATTCGCTTCCGGTAAAACTCCCATTTGTATGGTCCAAACCTCATTGAATAATCACATCAACAAATTCCAAGGTTGTCCAGTTGCCAGATCTTGTATGAAACGCATCTTTCTCACACGATCGACGCATACAAATTTTAACCCATTTGTCCCCTCAACTTGGCAACCTACAGCCCAGTGATGCTATTGATATGTGCGCGGAAGGAAACAATGCTCAGTGTAGAAATGGGAGGAGAAGACTCTGGTGCTCCAGTGAAAAAAACTAAATATACATGTAAATATTTACATGTATAAAGAGATATAGCTTACACTTCAAAAGGCTATTTAATTGATTAAATATGAGCGCTGCAAGTTTCAAAGTCAGGTGTGAATTGTTTGATATTAATTGTTTACATTAATATAAAAATAAAATGAAATAAAATAATATAATATAAAATTGTTACTTTTGACTCCGCCCCCCCGACCGAAGTTGTAACTGTAACTGTAAACTGTAAAGTTACAAAGCTACGAGAATACTTTTTTGCGCAAAGAAAACAAAAATAACGACTTTATTCCACATTTTCGTCTCTACTGCGTCACTTGTGGACACGCGTTCACGACAGTAGCATGACGCGAGCGTGTGGTGGCGCTGACCCAGATCTCGTAGCTTCGTAACTTTACAGTTGAACCACTGATGTCACACGGGCTACTTTGTCGATCATCTTGGTACTTTTAACGTGGTAGTTACCTTGCTGTCTATGGGAAGGTCAGAGAGCCCTCAGATTTCATCAAAAATATCTTAAATTGTGTTGAACAACATGAGGGTGAGTAATTAATTACAGAATTTTTAATTTTTGGGTGAACTAACCCTTTAATACCAGTTTGTGAGGTGAGAGACTCTGATCGAGTTTAATAAACCAGATCCACTGAACACAGTCACGTTGGACAGAGCTGTGCCTGGTCTCTTCTTTATCGACGTTTCACTCGACATCTCTAACCTTTATTGCATCTGCCCTGAAGAAATGTTAACAGTTTTGGAGAAAACAGCAAATTCAATAAACTGTTAAAATAGCATACAATATATTAGCATTGTATTTTATACAGTTTAACTATGTTCTTACCTTTTGCGCCTAATTAACGTGATATTCAGTGTAGCATTTATCTTCTGCCTAACTGGACAGCAAGAGGATAAGTTTGCTTAGCAACGGGATCTACTTCCTGGATACGGGCAAACGTGGGATTTGTAGTTCATTAAGAAACGTGACAAAATGATAAAAATGTCTGTAGCAGATGAATGTTACATTCACACTGAAGTTATTTATTGACTCAATAATAGACTAAATGTTTGCGTTATTAAGATGCTTTACAGTTTAGTGTTCTTATTGTGTGTTCAGTTGTTGTGGCACCCTGGGGAAACACAGTAACAGTCTTTCCCTATATAGCCTATCCCTTAAAGGGGTCATATGATGCGATTTCAAGTTTTCCTGTCTCTTTGGAGTGTTACAAGCAGATTGTGCATAGATAAGATCCCTGAAGTTGCAAAGACTAAAGTCTCAAAACCAAAGAGACATACTTTATCAA